AAAGAGCAACTCTTGCTTTAAAATCACACAGCGCTGCAGCTTGTGCACAAAAGCAGCCCTCTACTCTGGGAGAGAGTTTGCTATCAATATATAAAAAGGTATTACCCTTGAATATGGTATCCTTGTGCTGGTGCATAAACCCTGCCTGAAGATTTTCTTCATGAAATTCCGAGGAACGATTCTCAGTTCAATGACCCTAAGAAATGATTTTGAATTACTCTCCACTCATAACACAGAAGAAAAGTACTTCTTTTTCAGTCTCTATAAATAGAGGCCTAGGGAGGTATAGGATCCAGAGTCAGAAGATTCAAGTTTTAGACTCTGCCTTGAACATTTTATCAAGATTCCCATATCTGACATGCTATTCTGGGCAGTATTCTTGCTGTCAGGGATTCACGGTACTGGCCCAAATTAAACAGTTTCACTACGGCGAAGGATTTTTAAAAAACAATGAGAAAAGCATATAAATGAAATGCCACTACACACACATTTTCCTAATTTTGAGTTTGCCACTGAGTGGACATGAGTCTTGTGTGCTTCTAAGTGGGAAATAAACCAAAAGACTTTACCCCAAAGGTTACTAACACCTGTGAGATAAGTAAATGTAGAAATGGAAGTAAAGAAGAAAATGTACAAAGCACCTAGAAATGGGAGACATGCTGATTAAAGGAGGAAAGAGAAGGAGGGGGTAGGTAAGGCCACAGAAATAAAATGAATAGATGTTTTTCTCTGTGTTCATTTTTAACAAGAGGTGGGTTGCTTCCTTGAGCAGATCTGGAATGAGAGTGCGCATGAACCAAGCAGAAATGAAATGGTAGTTGCAGACGGCGGTTGGGGCTGGCTGGCAGCGCAGCAGGAGATTAAAGCACCTTGAAGGAAAAAACTGTTGTGTGTTTGTGGAAGGGAGGGAGAAAGCTCTGTCTGAAACCAACCAGGAGAAGCATCACTGGGTGCTTCCTGCCATGGAGACGGCAGGGACCACCGCACTTCAGCATGGCTCCTGCCGCTACAGAAGTACCACGTGCAGAATGAAGACGTTAAGGTGTCCCGGGGCGAGGTCCACGTTAGCAGGTTCCCACAGCTGGCTGAAAGAAATGTACAGGAAGCAGGGAGCTTGGAGGTGGGCTTCATGTGATTCATGTTGGTAGTCACACAGGAGTGGGCTTTGGGAGCTAAGCCCGAAGAAAGAAAAGCAAAGCTCTGGGTTCCCCAACCCCTGTTGTATTTTCACAAGAACCTAGAATTTTGTCGGAATTCGATAGCCTTCTTCTAATGTTTCAAATATTATTCACGGGAGATGCTTATATTCATTATCTCTGAAGATCTTGACTAGTAGCTAGCACCTTGTGTTCAGTATGCCCTTAATGGAATAATCACTGGCTGAGTGAATCAACGGTGTTCCCAGATGAGGAATGTGGCTCACATTAATTAAAATAGGAGTCAATAACGTGTAAGATACAGCCTATATTTTCTTTATTACCACCATTTGGCAAATTCAGGATGAGAGCTCTAGCAATTCAAATCTCCCTCTGAGGTAAGGTTAGTAACTATCAAGATAGAGCTTGGCAGCTCTCTCTCGGGTCCCCAAGGCTCACTAAACATTTTAAGAGGACGCTAGACATTTTCCTAGTGGCTTGTGGGATAACCCACTTCCAAGTGTGGGAGGCAGTGCAGTCTTGCCCATTGCAAACAGCAAATTCTGGCATGAGGTTTTGAGTTGGCACTAAAGGCGTGAGAGGTAGGTAGCATGCAGTTTGGCTTTTTTTTTTTAAAGCAACCTTCGAAAGTTTGTTCATTCATTAGCAAAATGGATCTATTTGTTTCCATATGGGTGGTTGCATTGGTTGGTTGTCTTAGTCACTTCAACATCTAAGTCAATGGTTCCGAAATTTTGAGGGTTCCAGATCCCTTTTGGCTCATTTTTTATTTGGCTCAAATTCTACTTTCCTATTCCAGAGGAAGTGGAAAACTTGCTGCCTTGTGTGCTAGGGAAGAACTAAAACTCAAGTGCAAGTGGAGGCTGGGAATAAGCGAGGTCAGGGCTGTGAACCAAGTGTGGGAGGTGAGAGGCGCAGGAGGGTCAGGCAGGGGTCTGGCTGAAAACCGTCCTGCTCTGAGCAGTAGCCCCACAGCTGGAGCTTAGCTGATGGTGACAGCATATGACCTTGTGGACATCTTTCCAGTAGCCCACTCACTTACTTGACAATGACAAGAGTCTTAGTATCACAGACTGCTGATTCTGAATAGAAAAGGCACTCTTCTGCCACACCAGTGCTGAGGCCGGAGGACAAGGCCTCCATGCTTCTGGGATCTGCATTGACCCCAGATCTTCCAACTGTCCCCTCAACGGCACAAGCCCTCAGTCACCAGCGTACCTGCTTTCATCTTCCCCAACCCCAGATCATCAAATCATTCATTTTGGCTGCTCCGAGTGCATAGGTGTGGCTGTACCTGCAAAGTCATGTTTTCAGAATGGGCTTTCAATTCTGTTCTAAAACATTTTTACATGTCCCTTTCTTCATTTCGTTCCCCATTGTAATTTTTTACAAGATGAGCTCCTATTCACAGAGGATAATAATCTAGCAACTCCCATCTATAGAGCACCCTTTGTGTGCATACGTGGTACATATCTTATCTGTCCTAATCTCAGTAGCCTGTGTTAGCCATGTGCTGCTATCCCTATTCTGACTTATTTTATTTTTTAGAAGTGGGGTCTTGCTTTGTTGCCCAGGCTGGAGTGCAGTGGCATGATCATAGCTCACTGCAGCCTTGAACTCCTTCCTGGGCTCAGGGATCCTCCCGCCTCAGCCTCCTGTGTAGCTGGGACTACAGGTGTGCACCACCATGCCTGGTTTATCCCTATTTTGTAAACAAGAGCTCATCGAGGTCACCCAGCAGGCCTCCGGACACCATGTCAGACTGCTTCTCATAGAGTGCATTACAGTTTATAAGGTGCTTCCACATGCGTTATAAAGCTCCCTGATCTATAAATTAAATGTCATTATTACCTCCATTTTACAGACGGTAACACTGAAATTTAGAGGGGTTATGTGACCTTCCCGTGTTTGTGGGTGGCTGAGTTGGGTTTCAAACGTGTATCCTCCTATTCTACATCCCATGCTGATCCAATAGTATAGTGGAAAGGAAATGAAAGCTTGAATTCAGGCGCAATCTCCCTTAAATTTCTTTATATCCATCTTCAAACTTATTTCCCCCCCCCACTCCTCTTTTTTTCCTGTCTCAAGAAGAAGCTGATTCGATTATGTGTTCTTAAAAGTGGTCTCCTTTGTCCCTGAGTGGTCTTCGTTATTCTCCTCGCTTTGCATTTGTACGCTATGCAGATGACTCTCAAACCTTTCTTTCTCTGAGCTCCCATTGCTGTTTCAACCACTCACAGGGCATCTTTGCTTAGCAATACACCCTGTATATAGACCACACAGCACTCTCCCACCCCTCAGCACTCTACAACTAACTCTGTCTACTCTGTTTTCCTTGAGCAATCCATGTGCTTTTATGTCTCCGAGCTCTTGCTTGTACTGCTTGAAATGCTGTCCTTCTTTTTCTCTGCTTGTAGAAATTGTATTCATTCTTTAAGAATCAGCTCAAGGGTCACACCTGTTATTGACTATTTTCCCAACTCTTTGGGTCAGATTTAAATGGCATATTCTCTGTGTTCCAAAAGCACTTGCTTATTGGGATAACACATCACTTATCACATGAGGAAATTATTTGTCTTCATTTTTGTGTTAACTTATGGGCTGCCAGCACAAGAAGACAAGAAGAGAATTTTATTTATCTCTACATGCCTTGATGTGATAAGCAGGGCCCTTGGCTAAGTGTTTGTTAAATGAATAAAAGAATAAATGAATGAATGGTGACTCAGTTACCACTCCTATTTTTCAACACACCCCAATGAGGGCATAGTCTGACTTTTTTTTCTCACCTCAGATCTTTGCTATTATCTTGGACATTTGTCTTGCTTGCTTTATGAAAATATTGAGTTTTAAATGAAACAGAAATTGCCTGTTATTTGAAATTATGAGAAAGGAAAGAGAATGACACATAATTTTTCTGATAGAAGTAACTCCTATCACTCAAGTGATAAACATTACAGATAAACATCCAAAAAATTATAATTTATACTTGTAAATTTTTAAATACAATAATAGGAATTGATTCTCTTGTATTACTAAATGCTTATATTCACATATTATGCAATAGTGAACTTCATTGGATTGGAATAATTTGGGAAGGTGGGGAAAAAAGCCAGCCTAAATATGGAAGTCAAAATTTATTGGAAGCAATGCAGTTTTATTGCTTTCAATACTATGATCTGTCAATAAAGTCTGTCTAAGGAGACATCTACTTAATGACACGTATCCTTATTTTATAGCTGAATCTTTTTGCCTAAAGATCACTATATGCTGGATAAAGCCATAAAAACGATGTACTTTTTTTACTTGGGTTACAGGTGTTCCCTCTATTTTGCTTAGCAAATCCATTCCTTGCAGACAATTCAAAGGTTCATTTCAGCTTAAACTAGATCAAATTCTCAAGAATTATGTATTAGCAATATTTGAATCAATACAGTTTTACTGTATTCATAGAGGAAGACATTGTGGAAAATAAAATAACATAGTCCAATGTTCCAGGGAAGTGTTAAATACTTTTAAAATAAAAATAGGAAAAAAGGTAAACTTTTTCAAATGAGATAAACATTAATTATTCATCAAGCTAGATATAACCAAAATCTATCTGCAAAGCCCTTGGTTTCCTTGCTAAATTCCTCAAGGGAAGCATCATGGTTTGTGTGCTTCTCTCCCCTCCCTCCAAGACTTTTATACACTCCAACATTCCATCTAGGCTGTGCATTTTTGTGATGGCTTTCATTACAGAACAGGTGCTGAAAAGCAACATTGCGAGGTTTTCAGATATTCTAGCTGTTTCTCTGCTTTTCTGTAACTACCCAGACTCAAATATTCTGAAAGGAGGTTACTCACTGATTCTGGCTACAGGTTGCAAGTAATTTACTGGCTCCCATCCTAGGGAAAAAAAAAAGAGGAGGGAAATTCATATGTTACCACCACATCCAAAGACATTTACAAAACTTTCTACACAAAGATGCCTCAAAGACTCCAATGTTTTCTTCGTATTAATAACAAGGAAATCATGGGTGGAGTTATGAAATATGTCATCCTTTGTGTTCGTGGGCTAATGAAGAGGGGACGAGCTTGTCTCACTTATCAGGAAACTTGTCATTATCTTCAGACTTTGCCACAGGAAAGGCTGAGCTTTGAGCCTGTGTGCTCTGTGGCAGGGAGACGGAGCTGGGGATGGGGGGTGGGCAGTGTGGGAGCACGGCCGTCACAAGGAAGATGATTTCCCTGGATTCCCAGCCTTCTACTCCGTAACATAGCAACATGCTAATATACGATTATTGTTCACTTAAAATCTTTGTGTAAAATTGAGATGTCTTTGGGTAAAGACATAGATGTCTTTGGGTAAAACTGATACTCAGGACAGATAAGCCATGTGCATCTCCCGGCATTGAGTGTCAGTGGCCCACTCTTGGATACCTAGCATGGGAAACTTGGACGAGTAAATGAGCCGAAATCTGGGGTAAAAGAAGAAGAAAGCTCTGAGGGAAGCAATATCATGGATATTTAAATTATCCAGAACTAATGGTATTTTTTTCTCTGTGGGGAAGAGCTGTAAGTAAAATTCTGGGGTTTTCCTTGAACCAATGAGTTCTTATCATGATGACCAAGAAGGGTCTCTTTCTGCCAGATGAAGTTGGCCAGATGTAACACAGTGTATTTGTTCTTGTTCAGTCATCTTATGGGGAGAGAAGAGCCTCAGCTCATTCTGAGAACAATTCTAGGAAATGTAATTATATGACTAGTTAGCTTTTGGCTTTTGGGTTACACAGCTCCAATTCTTCCCTTAAAGAACATTATAAACATATAATACATAACACACTATAATATGTTATATACTGTATATTATATCATATGATATTTTACTATAACATATATATTTAATATGATACTATATATGAATGCATATTCTATATTATTTTATAAATATATACATAATGTTTGCTCTCTGCATGCCTTTTAAAAATATGTTGATTAAAACCTGAACAAGTCCTCAAGGATGGTGTGGCTTAAGCAATGGTAGGATTAATTCTCTGTCCTGTTATCCTGCTCTATTTAAATAACCTAGTCTCAGTGTGACTCATTTATAATATTGTTTTGCTAACCCTAATAGAGACAAAAATCTTATTGGCACTTGCCTTTTTAATCATTCGGCAAATTTCATTTGTGCCAAAATATACCATTTTATACGTGCATCAATGAAATGCTTTTCTATTTTTAGAATGATTTAAAAATATATCCAAGGGCATTTGAATTATATTGTTGAGTTTCCTAGTATAAGGTATTGGCAGCTCTATTTGATTTAGTAATATCTGCATTTTGGATGAAGTTATTTATAAGTCATTTATACAGCTCATCAATAAGTTACAGGTCCTTCAGTACAACTGATCCCCACGGGTTGGAATTTGATACATAATCCACTGCTGCAACCCACTTTATTATAATTGCAACTCTATATTTACCTGTCCACCCATGTAACAGTAGCATGATTAAGGTGGCACTTTCATGGCTTAGTGATAAGATTATTGTTTAGGTTAGAACTCAAAATCTTCCCTCATACAAAATTGATTTTATCCAGCATATTATCATTATTTATGTATTCTGTCATTTAATCATGGAAGGAAATTAAATTGGTGTGGAAAAAGCTATTCCAAAAGTCAAAAGCATCTGTTTCTTCATTTTTTGTGATACTCTGGTAAGTTGTTCATTGATTGTATCAGGGATTGTTCTCATCAGGGATTGTTTTTAAGCTCTCTGGTTTATAATTATCAAATTGTTTCCTTAAAAAATGTGGACACAACAAGCTCTTCCTCCATCTCCTTGATGGCTCAAATAGGAAGGCTGTGCAAGGTCACGTGCCAATTTCTTAAGGGTATCTGGAAACCTGATATTAGGGCATTACAATGAGAGACACTCAGGTATTGGATACTCTTCCCTGGTCTAGTTTGTCTCTCCACACTTCACTGAAGTATATTAGTTAGTTAAATGTATGTCTCCCACACCATATAGTAAACTTTTGAACACAGACAGAGATGATTCAGTTTTAATTTCTCTTTTTGACTTCTCTGAACCTAGTTTAGTGTCATACATAAATATGCATTGAATTAAATTTTTAAAGAGATATTTATTTAAGGATCTGATAAGATAGAAAAGTAAATACAATTTATTTTTGATTTTGTGAATTGTCTCCTAAAGAAAAAACTATTTTCTTCCACTTCCCAATAATAGTAATAGAGTATACAGCCCTTTAAGGCTTTGACCATATCTTCTAACTCATTGCTATTTCTATATATATTTTTATGTAATAAATACCTAGGATGTTAGGCTCAGTTCATACAATCAATATCACTGACTTACTAGCTACATGATCATATATTTAATAACTATGAATGTTCTCCAATGGTCAACTGTGAAAACAACTTTAAATGTCAGCAGTGGGGCTTGCTTTACAAACAGAAATTAACTGGATTTGGCCAGAGCCATCCAAATAAGTAAGAGTTTAAACATCATATCTAGTATACATGTTCTCATATTGTGTTCACAAGATTGAATACAGAATTAAGACTTAATTTAGTGACATAGACAATTTAATGAAACAGAATCTTTCCCTTCCATCCCATTGCTTTATTTTGAGTCATTTTTGTCTTCTTCTTTTTCTTCTTCTTTTTTTTTTTTTGAGACAGAGTCTGGCTCTGTCACCCGGGCTAGAGTGCGTGGCATCAGCCTAGCTCACAGCAACCTCAAACTCCTGGGCTCAAGCGATCCTTCTTCCTCAGCCTCCTGAGTAGCTGAGACTACAGGCATGCACCACCATACACAGCTAATTTTCTCTATTTTTAGTAGAGATTGGGTCTCGCTCTTGCTCAGGCTGGTCTCGAACTCTTGAGCTCAAGCGATCCTCCCACCTTGGCCTCCCAGAGTGCTAGGATTACAGGCGTGAGCCACCAAGCCCAGCCTTCCATTTTTGTGTTCTGTGGTCAAGCATAGTTCACCTGTTGAAACTTGGTGTAAACACCATTATAAATGAATAGGTCTACAGCTTTGATGGAAAATTAATTTTTAAAAAATTAGCATTTCACTGATCCTGATAAGTCCTGAGGGTGGGAGAGCTCCGTGTAGCATGAATGGCACACTGAGCCAGGCTGAGCTCACACTCAAGTGGGAGAATACAAATGTAACCGTGATGTACTTTCTCAAAGAACTCAGAGTGATAAATTAATCCTGATCAAGTGATAAATTAATTATGTCATTTATCGTAATCCTTATCTAACATCTTTACCAAGCAAAAGGTTAGATAGCTTCTTAAGGCCGTGTGGAAATTTGTTGTTAAGATTGAAATAGGATGACATTTGGATTGCCAAAGCCTTGTTTTCAATAATGAATCAGTTTTTTTTTCCAGCTAGACCTTGCAGAAATGTGATTATCAATATCCTCTTAATTTTACAACAGATATGGATACAAAAAAATCATCACAGTGAAGTTTGGGTCCTTTGGTTGTTGGATTTAAAACTTTATCCTAATTTTTTCTTTTGAAATATTGATTGGGTCTAACCTTACCTTTTTTCTCTTTTCTTTTAAAATTGCCTGGATGCACAATTATTAAATCAATAATAACCACAATAACAGCTAACATGTACTGAATGCTTATTAAATACCAGACATGCTGCTGAGCACTTTATGTGAACCTTACCTAATTTAATATAATAAAAATCCCGTGGGAATACTACCAGCACTTCTGCATATGGAATACAGCTACATGTTTCCAGTTCTGCACTTTCTTACACAAACCACACCCTTAATCATCATTTATTTATATTTCCTGGTTTCAGTTCCATTAAAGTGAATTGAGAACTTAAAAGTGCAAAGCAGAACCCAATGTTTTAGATTTGTTTCAGTTTTTTTCTAATATTTTACCATTATCTTGCAAACATCTAATTCTACAGCATTTTATTTTTAGTAATTCAACTTCATTGAGTCTTTTCAAAACATTTTCATAGAAATAGCAATTCTCTTTTATATACCCATATGTCATCCAGTTACATAATTTATAACTGAGTTGAATAATTCTATGAACAAGCACAATCGGCATAGCACGTCTGGGAACAAATACACTGGCTTTCGGTCCACATACATGTCCACAGGTAGGGTCAGAAGGTTACAGGTGGGTTAGAGGGCACCTAGTGTTGAGCTGGTGTGAGCATCAGTCAGTGGGTTATACTGAAGGAAGGGAAAGACCTGATGAATCAGGAAAACCATTTAAGAGGAGGTCAATATAAAGAACTTCTATTGTATTTATACTTTAACTGTGTATGCATTACCTTGATAAAATTAAAATTTAAAAAACATTTAAAATGGAAGGAGAAGGAGGAAGAGAGAGTGAGTTTAGGTACCTTGCCCAAGATTGCAAAACTACAGGTGGAACTAGAATTTGACTCCAGAATTTGGCCTCCAAGTCTAGTATTCTTTCTCTCCATCCATTATGCCTCAGGACGGTGATGATTGTGATGGGTTGGGTGTATTGCTGTAGCCCAGAAAGGGGGCTTGGGATGGCTAAAGAGTGGGCAGGAAGGGAACAGAGCAACAGAATATAGAAGAAACGTGGAAGTAATGAAATAGTCTTAGAAATTTGCAAAAGTGCCCTGCCATTGAGTTAACCCATGTATTTCTTGACTGCGTATCTCAATGGTTCCAACCAAAAGGGGTTTCAGCAAACAAATTTTGCCTGCTCATGCTGCCAACAGAACTGGTTTTTGTTAACTCTGGACTGGAAGAACTCTTGAAAGGGCATCACTTCTTTCTCTCCAGCAAACAATAAACAACAACACAGAAGAACCTGTGACTCAATGGTCCCATGGGGAACCAAAGCTGGGATCAAGCTTCAGGAA